AGCACTATCGACAAATGATAAGACTACAGATAAAATAGCATGTACAACATATGAGGTCTCTGTCATGAAATGTTTGTACACCTTCGAAAGTTAATGATTTATTCAAGATATGATTTCAAATTGTAAGTGAACTCTTTCATTGAATTTTAAAAAAAAAATTCTTTTGTAGTAATTGAAAAAAAAAGTAAAATCCCTCAACAAAGTTGTAGAAAAACTCGACAGTTTATAATTTTGTAATCATCAATAAAATAAAATTATAGACACGGCAGACCTAAGCAGGACGTTGATTAAAAATAAATATAGACAAGAGATACCTTGTTTAAAAATGATGAACTGAAATTATTTAAATTTTAAGTCTCTGATTTTGTTTATTGCTTTAATCTTATACTATGTCACATATTATAAGGCGGGGACAGCATAACATATAATTTAATTGTTCAATGCTAAAAAAAATATCCTTTCATGGATTATAAAAAGCGAATTAAAAATGGTTTAAGTTGCTTATTGTTCTGTCATTGGTGAGTTGTTTTAAGGGGAGGGTACGGTGGTGGGTAGCTTGGAGGGGAGACTGAAGGAGGTAGAGTTGAAGGGTCGAGTCTTTGTTCTGATACTGGACTGTTCATGTGTAGCCACTGTAGGGACTGTTCACATGTAGCCACTGTAGGGACTGTTCACATGTAGCCACTGTAGGGACTGGGACTGTTCATATGTAGCCACTGTAGGGACTGTTCATATGTAGCCACTGTAGGGACTGTTAACATGTAGCCACTGTAGGGACTGTTCATATGTAGCCACTGTAGGGACTGTTCACGTGAAGCCACTGTAGGGACTGGGACTGTTCATATGTAGCCACTGTAGGGACTGTTCATATGTAGCCACTGTAGGGACTGGGACTGTTCACGTGTAGCCACTGTAGGGACTGGGACTGTTCATATGTAGCCACTGTAGGGACTGTTCATATGTAGCCACTGTAGGGACTAGCACTGTTCATATGTAGCCACTGTAGGGACTGTTCATATGTAGCCACTGTAGGGACTGTTCACGTGTAGCCACTGTAGGGACTAGCACTGTTCATATGTAGCCACTGTAGGGACTGTTCATATGTAGCCACTGTAGGGACTAGCACTGTTCATATGTAGCCACTGTAGGGACTGTTCATATGTAGCCACTGTAGGGACTGTTCACGTGTAGCCACTGTAGGGACTGTTCACATGTAGCCACTGTAGGGACTGGGACTGTTCATATGTAGCCACTGTAGGGACTGTTCATATGTAGCCACTGTAGGGACTGTTCATATGTAGCCACTGTAGGGACTGTTCATATGTAGCCACTGTAGGGACTGTTCATATGTAGCCACTGTAGGGACTGTTCATATGTAGCCACTGTAGGGACTGGGACTGTTCACGTGTAGCCACTGTAGGGACTGGGACTGTTCATATGTAGCCACTGTAGGGACTGTTCATATGTAGCCACTGTAGGGACTAGCACTGTTCATATGTAGCCACTGTAGGGACTGTTCATATGTAGCCACTGTAGGGACTGTTCATATGTAGCCACTGTAGGGACTAGCACTGTTCATATGTAGCCACTGTAGAAACTGTTCATATATAGCCACTGTAGGGACTGTTAAGATGAACTTGTCTCTACAACTTTTGGTGCTGACAACATACGACCTGGATGATCCACTACACATTAATTAATTAATTAGATAAGAAATTAAATATTTTTGGAGAGATTAATTCAAGTCAACTCGTGCAGGACATGTATTTAATGTTTTAATATCGCACATAAATCAACGTCAAACAAGCAATGGCATAAGCAGAGTTATACAGTATTAGCACGTGATCGTCAAAATATAAAAATATATTAAAAAGTGCAAAGCAGGGTGTGACCACAATGTGTGACTTAAACGAGTGACTAAAAGGTGTGACTAAAAGGTGTGACTAAAAGGTGTGACTAAAAGTGTGACTAAAAGTGTGACTAAAAGTGTGACTAAAAGTGTGACTAAAAAGTGTGACTAAAAGGTGTGACAATTTTAAAAGGTGTGACACAAACTCTCAGCTTACACTGGCGTGTACTTATAAAGTATGTGCCTCTCTAGCTAAACATTGACTCTCTACTGTCGTGGTGTAAAAAAAATTAGTTCCTGACAATTATCCTAACACATTTGAAAAACACAAAGCTAAAATATTCTAGTTTCAGCACACATATATTTTTACCACTAATGTCTTCGTAACATTTAGTAACACTGTAAACTAAGAAAACAAAAATATCAAAACATATAACATAAATATAAATTATAAATATTGCAATCATCAGTGATGTTAGAATGATGTCTTGAAGATGTATCGATGACATGTCGGTGTCACTTTTGTCATGAAGATATAAACGTAATGGAAGTTCTCGATTTAAAGCTGATGTTACAATTTCTATGGACGGCTATGAGAAACAGTTATAAGCAGTGTGTATGGCAAAGATTATTTCACATGTTTCTCCCAATTAAAAGTCTTAGCAGACATCGCAGGCAGACAAACGATTTGAGCCGAATTTTGTTGACAGAAATTTTCAGTTTGTAATCGGAGCTAGCGGCATCAATCCGCACAGAGACACAGAGCGCCAGCGAGATTCGAACACAGCTCTGTAGGACGGGCGCAGTAGAGTGGAGCTGTCTCAGACACACGGAGAACCCGAGGACCACCGAGCCCATGTGAGCTGTGTTGGTCAGCACGTGCTGTAGCGTGCAGACCACGAGCACTGGGCAGGTCCAGCAGAGCATGAAGAAGATGTAGTCAATGTTTGCGTCAGGCATTCTAGGCTTCAGGCGAAGCTACTGTAGTCGGCAGGTAATATCATAGTAGGCGTCAGCCATTTTTGCGTCATGCAATTTTGGCGTCAGTAATTTACTTTTGGCGTCATGCATTATTCATCGAACACCCCTAAAGTTGTGTGTATTCATCAAACACCCCTGACGTGCGCCCCCGAGGTCTTGTCGCATCAAATGTACAGCTTGAATCCCTGTAAACCCCATACGGTGTGTGAGTGCGTGAGTTTCACGTGAGTGACAGACACCTTTGTGTGAGAGTTTCACGTGAGTGACAGACACCTTTGTGTGAGAGTTTCACGTGAGTGACAGACACCTTTGTGTGAGAGTTTCACGTGAGTGACAGACACCTTTGTGTGAGAGTTTCACGTGAGTGACAGACACCTTTGTGTGAGAGTTTCACGTGAGTGACAGACACCTTTGTGTGAGAGTTTCACGTGAGTGACAGACACCTTTGTGTGAGAGAACTTGAATCTGCGTGTAATGGAACAATACACCACTGCTTTATATTCTTCTAATTTATCTAAATCATCTCAAAGAAAAAATGTAATATTCTTCTAAATCATCTCAAAGAGAACACTTAACTCCAACTCAGATTTAAAATATTTTTGCGAGAGAAGTCACATTGGGTTAAAGTTAAGAGCTCTCCTAGACAAAGAAATCAGAAGATGGTGTGTTTTTTATTTTTGTTGTAGGTATTTAACACAGATTTCTACTGTAATAGCTAACGACCTGTTCAAACATTTACATTGCACTAAACAAACTATAGGAGAAAAGTTTATCTGATAATTTGTGTAGCCTTGTGCCGTGTAATAATGTGGTATCAATGGAGAATCGAACCAAAGTTAATTTCACTCAAATTTGACTGAGAGTTTCACGTCAAATGGCCGGAGATTTACATCCGTTTATCGATATCGACCTGTCCGATAATTTCATCGATACAGTACGTCATCGTTAGTCGAGCACGTGCAGTTAATGTTTGTTGTGCAATTAGACCAACATTTTATGTAGGTGAGCAGGCACAGTCTTTGTGTTTAAAACTCGAGATTATTCTAGCGTCAAATTATTTCGTTGACGTTGGGCTAATCAAGGTTCTGTCTTCAGTGAGACTAGCCCCGGGGGAAGGGGGGGGGGGGAGTAACCTTATTAAAATCTGCTCTCAGATTAAATGTTACGGATGTTTTTCTGGGGGCCGGGGGCAGAGATTATACAGGGGTGCATCATGAGGTCGCAATGTTCAGTCATTACGTCGTGATGTAGGTAAATGTTCTACTTAACGACACTGAAGTATAAATGGTGCCAGTGATGGCGGGCGGCGTTATAGACAGTAGCTGTCATTTTCTACAGACAACAGCTGACATTGTCCACAGACAGTCATTTACATTGCTCTTTGTCTTCATAGAAAAACATCATGTACTAGTGTCCACAGCAAGAGTTCAACATTCCTTTTCTTAAATGCCGCCATTTTGACGTGACCCAACAGTTACAGTAGACCACACGACGTTTACACGGGGTCGGTGTGAGTCAGTTGTATTCATACAAGTCAGGACAGCTTCACACGTGAGACAGTCTTGATATAAGGCTACTTCACACGTGAGACAGTCTTGACATAAGGCTACTTCACACGTGAGACCGTCTTGACATAAGGCTACTTCACACGTGAAACAGTCTTGACATAAGGCTACTTCACACGTGAGACAGTCTTGACATAAGGCTACTTCACACGTGAGACAGTCTTGACATAAGGCTACTTCACACGTGAGACAGTCTTGACATAAGGCTACTTCACACGTGAGACAGTCTTGACATAAGGCTACTTCACACGTGAGACAGTCTTGACATAAGGCTACTTCACACGTGAGAGAGTCTTGACATAAGGCTACTTCACACGTGAGACAGTCTTGACATAAGGCTACTTCACACTTGAGACAGTCTTGACATAAGGCTACTTCACACTTGAGACAGTCTTGACATAAGGCTACTTCACACTTGAGACAGTCTTGACATAAGGCTACTTCACAGATGTAGCAAGCACATTTTAGCGGACTGTTTTTGGTCCGATAAAAACCTGATAATGATGAGATAGACTACTCGTAGTTGTCATGTAACATTTCGTACGATCGAATTTATCGTCCTACAGCCAGGACTTAACATTTTGTCTATCTGTCAGTCCGCCGTGATGGAGGGCGCCGACTATTTGAACGTGACGGAGCGTATGGAGGGCGCCGACTATTTGAACGTGACGGAGCCTGAGGACGACCCGTTCCTGATCAGCGCCGACCTGCTGCAGTGGTTTACACTCGTCAACTACGTGGCGCTGTCGGGCACCATCAGCTTCATCGGCGTCATCTTCAACATCATCAACATCATCATCTTCATCAGACTCGGCTTTCACGAAACGACGAACATTTCCTTCTTGAGCCTGACCTTAGCGGACATGGGTGTGGTGCTGATGTTGGTGGGCTACAGCATCATCTACAACCCCGCGATGGTTGGCGCGGTGCCCACCCCCCAGATCATCGACTCTGTGGGTTACATCCTGTTCGGGTGGCCGTACGCCTGTTTTAGCCGTATAGCCGGCTGTATGACGGCCTTTATTACCGTAGAAAGGTTTCTGTGTGTAGCGATGCCCCTCAGAATAAAAACTCTGGTGACGCCACAGAAAACCATTCTTATAGCGGCATCGTTTTTCGTCATTCTGTTCGCCAGCGTCGTCCCAGCCTTCCTGGCCTCACGACTTGACCGGGTGTTTGACCCGAGCATCAACCAAACCGTGGTGGGGCTGGTCTTCTGCCCGGACACGCCCACCCTGGAGAACGCCTCCCTGACGTTTAACGTGGCCGTGCAGCTGGCCGTCTTCATCATCGTCACCGTCTTCACCGTGGGCCTCATCCGGACGTACGTGCGGAAGTCCGAGTGGAGGAACTCCATCTCGTCCTCACAGGGCAGCAAGTCCATCTCCAGCCGGGACAAGAAGCTGGTCAAGATGGTCATCTTCATCTCGGTCATCTTCATCGCCTGCTCCATCCCTGGCGTGGTGGCCACCTTCCTCATGATGTTCATCAAAGACTACAACATCCTGGGCCGCTACAGGAACATCTACATCGCCACCTTCTCCACGTTTTTCCCCATTGGCGCCATCAACTCGACCGTCAACATCTTCATCTTCCTGGACATGAGCTCCAAGTACCGGCACATCTTTCTCTCTATGTTTGACCTCAGGTCAGTCGCCAGATTCGACACGAAATCTAAGACTTAAACATTCATGGTTACACTATACTGGTATGGTTTAAATTTAACAACTTAAAGATTAATTGTTAAACCACATTGCAATGGTTTACAATATTTTAGACAATGGAGGAGGTCGAGTTTGATAAGTTGGATTCAAGCATCATTGTCGACGTGGATAAAAACGTGTTCTTTTCTTTTTACATTTTGCCATCGAAGCGGAGGTAAAAAAGTACATACAAAAAAGACAACAAAAGAAAACAACAATGAAACAGAAAAAAATACAACAAAACATAAGCCTGTAATTCAGAAATTTAATACTTTTAGAATCAATCTTTCAGAAATTACAAATCCGGAGAGCTTAAAAATAGTTTTTGAGTTTAAGTCTACATTTCTGTTTATTTTTATCAATCTTAAGTTATAACCTGAAGTTTCACTTTTGTAAGACATACATTGATTGCCCCAACATGAACTCCGTGATCCATCTATCTTCTGAAAACCGCACATTTTAGTCATTTGTTCTTAAAACTTTGTCGATAAAATAAAAAAATAAAACTGCATGACGTGGTTGTACTATTTTTTTTTTACATTTGTTTTTGATAAAATGTAAACATACATACTTTGTTTGGCTTTGTAAAATTGAGTTTAGTTACCGAAAAAACTTAAAATATCACAAACATCCACTTTTAATTGAAGTCCGTCAAATATCAAACAGTCAGGCTATCTTAACTGCATCTATTTTAATAACATCGCGCCAGATTAAAAAAAAATAATACAAAAAACATATAACTTATTTCTTCAACATCCCATGTACCTGGGGTAGTTGGTGAGTTGTGTTAAATAAGACGACAGGCTGACCACTTGAAAATTAAATCTATGAGACTCTGGTCATTCTTGTGTTAAGTAAGACGACAGGCTGACCACTTGAAAATTAAATCTATGAGACTCTGGTCATTCTTGTGTTAAGTAAGACGACAGGCTGACCACTTGAAAATTAAATCTATGAGACTCTGGTCATTCTTGTGTTAAGTAAGACAACAGGCTGACCACTTGAAAATTTATTCTAAGAGACTCTGGTCAATCTTGTGTTAAGTAAGACAACAGGCTGACCACTTGAAAATTTATTCTAAGAGACTCTGGTCATTCTTGTGTTAAGTAAGACAACAGGCTGACTACTTGAAATTTAAATCTATGGCCATGTTCGTCTAAACCTCTATTTTTTTATTCACCTGTATGTCCATTAAATTGCAGATGTATTGATGTCTAAATAAGGAAAATATGCGGGAAATGAAAAACACATTAAGCTTAACATTATATATATATATATATATATATATATATATATATATATATATATATATATATATATATATATATATATATATATATATATAAATTAGTGTTTCACTTTGTCTTTTATGCATTATTACACCATTGATCCGGTTTTAAGCATATCCCAGCAGAATGTCTGTGTACATTTTAAAAGTATGCCCCCCCCCCCCAACAAGGGCCTTAATTTAATTTAATGGAGAAACAATACATGAATTAGCAAAACTATCGAGTTATCTCCCTTTGTCCGATAAGCATACCTATGTTCCAACCAAGGTTTTGGGCATACAATATTTAAAATATTGGATGGTTGGCGCCCGGCGCAAGTGTGCGCCTGTACGTCCCGAGTTCTGCCGCAATTCCATTGCACCAGGTTTCCGTTGTTTGGGCGCCCAAACTGCATCAACGGGTCCTCCGACGCCCCTACGGTCTTCTTACCCTAAGTGCCTCGGGTATACGAATGAACAACGTTGCGCCTACTTTTTTATTGAACGCCATAGACAAGGTATGCGGTGGGCTACTCCAATCGATGAATTAGCAGACACAAGGACGACTCTAATGAAAACTGCCGATCTAATCCACCACCACTTTTGTAACTCTAGCCCTAACTCATCAAAGTGGGTGGGAAAGGGGGGGGGTACTCTGACTAGTGACCTAATTTTGTTCTTCCATCTAAGCTCATATTCCTTAATGGACGTCTTGTATAAGACAAAAGTTGATGTCATGGTTTTATCTGACACAGTTGCTTGCTGGACGGGCACATAGAAGTCAGGTGTTGAGTCCCAACGGTAGGAGGTCGAGCCTAACCAAACAACTGTCTCGTGACTTCAGTAGATCACGTGGTACAGGCCATTGTTAACTGAACTTGTCAGAGACTCGTCTTGAGCGACTGAAGGTTGGACCGTGATGGAGAACACAGAACCCACCTGAACATTTAATTTTTTTATGAAGCTTGTGGCACGCCAGTTGCTCATCCACCAATGTTAAATAGTTTGCTGAGAGACAATCCATTTATAATAGTTGAGGACGGTCAGTTAATTTACAATATTTAGTTTGCTGCAAATAATTTACAATTTGATGACTGTCAATTAATTAGAATTTGATGACCGTCAATTAACGGACAACTAGTTGTTAGTGAGGAAGCAGAGCAGTCAGGCTAGAGACATGGATGGACCAGGGTTAACAACAACTGAAGCTCCAGAACTTGCCAGAGTCCTGCATAGATTGATGGATGATGAAACTTGTAATTTGTTTTCTTTCTGGGCGCTTGTAATTATATCTGGAGCTATCAACTCGCTGAGTATACTTTTCAACAGTACAATCATCATCGTCTTCATCAAACTGGGCTTCACCGATACCATCAACATCTATGGTGGTCATCTACAGCCCTGAAATGACACAGGATAAGTCAAACACAAAAATTATCCGTGCTTTTACCTATCTTCTATTTGTTATATTTAGCCGTATTTCCGGTTGTCTGACAGCTTTTATAAGTCTGGAAAGATTCCTCTGTATAGCTGTGCCACTGAAGGTCAAGGCCCTCATCACACCAAAGCGAACAGCCATGGTTTCCTGCGCCATTTATGGCTGTATGTTTTGTAGTGTTATACCGGTATATGTATGTAATAAAATTGGACCGAAATTGTATACCGACCAAAATTTAACTTTAATTGGATTGATCTGAAAACACTGACGCGATAGAAAACATCAGTTTGGCCATCACAAATTTTGTCGAGCTGGCCGTGTTTGCTCTTGTCGTCATCTTTACTGTTGGCTTGATACAGAAATTTGTGGACATTTCAAAATGGCGTAAAAACCTGTCATCTGTTTCTAAAAATAGCAGCATATCTACACGAGAGAAAGTCTTGGTTAAAATGGTTTCTTAAATATCTGCGGTGTTTAACGTCTGCTCATTTCCTGAAGTTGTCGGCACTATTGTCATGTTGTTTCTTAAAGAGTACAGCATCAAAGGGAGGGAAACCAATATTTTCCTGGCCACATTCTCTGTGTTTTTCAACATTACCTCCCTTAACTCTGCAGTCAGTATTTTGATTTACCTGAAGATGAGCTCCAAGTTTCAGCAAAGTTTACGGTCGCTCATCCCAAACTTTTATTGGCTGACCACTGGCCAGGCATGGGATCGTGCAGTCGACACCTCACAAGTTTTCATTTCTGTGAGTTTTACCAAGAACTTATATGAGAGATGTCACTTGGAGTTAGCCATCCTTTTATTTACTTTTTCCTGTTTCAGTAATTTCGTACACTTTTAAATTTAGGAAGAAACGTTTATATATTTAATATGTTGTCATGTAATATCTTTAAGAGACAGGTGGATTATGGGAGTTTTCAGCAGTTGGTTCAACAAAATAAATTCATCACAACAAGCTTAAATATTTTTGTCAATCAACTACCAGTAATTTATCTGTCGACTAGCAGTAATGTATCTGTATGTATCGACTAGAAGTAATGACGATAGAGTGTAAAACAAACAAAACGATACTCACGATTTTCTGACAAACTAGTTCTACTGTTCATTGACCTTATGGACAACAAAACAACCGTAAAAACAAACAACTACTTTTGTTATACAAATACAAACACGTATTACCAAACGTTGTAATGTTTTAGAAGCTTTTATTTAGTTCGCAACGTCCATTTGTTTGTTTGTGGGTTTGTGGCAAATCTTGTAACTCAATTTTGACCCACTTCATTTGCAGCGATTTCGTTCAAACTTTACAGATACGTTCCACTTCGATGACAATACTTCTTTTTCTTCTTCGTTCTTAATTTTAGTGTTGGATGGGATTACCTCCAACACAATTAAGTATACGTGTCAACTGGTTATGCGCCGTTTAGGGCATTGACTCCGATTTCAGCCTGCTTTTCTTTTTGGATTTGCTTCCATAGCCTTTGTCCAACCAAGAACGAACTACAAGGCAGCAGTTGTTTGATTTTGGAGTTGTCTCTCCAAGAAGAGTGGCTGTCCACAGCTAACAAGCATCATCTGCCCTAGGGTTCGAACTCGAGACATTTCGGTTTAGCAACCATGAGCTTTACCAACTCGACCACTCCGACCCCTAGGTGACAATACAAGTCTATCTATTTTTAAATTGAATAAGATGTTTAATTGGTCATTACAATTAATTAAATAACAACATTAAATCACTCGTCCATTAACTTACTTTTGTGTGAGGCGCCCTTACATTATCAGTTCGCACTATTCATAGATACCAAATGTGTTTATAATTTTCGGTTGCAAGCTCACAGTTGAGTGCAGTCATGTTATGAGCACACAGTTGAGTGCAGTCATGTTATGAGCACACAGTTGAGTGCAGTCATGTTGTAAGCACACAGTTGAGTGCAGTCACGTTATAAGCACACAGTTGAGTGCAGTCATGTTGTGAGCACACAGTTGAGTGCAGTCACGTTATAAGCACACAGTTGAGTGCAGTCACGTTATAAGCACACAGTTGAGTGCAGTCATGTTGTGAGCACACAGTTGAGTGCAGTCATGTTATAAGCACACAGTTGAGTGCAGTCACGTTATAAGCACACAGTTGAGTGCAGTCATGTTGTGAGCACACAGTTGAGTGCAGTCACGTTATAAGCACACAGTTGAGTGCAGTCACGTTATAAGCACACAGTTGAGTGCAGTCATGTTGTGAGCACACAGTTGAGTGCAGTCATGTTATAAGCACACAGTTGAGTGCAGTCACGTTATAAGCACACAGTTGAGTGCAGTCATGTTGTGAGCACACAGTTGAGTGCAGTCATGTTGTGAGCACACAGTTGAGTGCAGTCAAGCGCATCACAAGACACACAAAGACAACAACAAACTTTTAACAAAACAGACATACACACCTTAATTTACATGTATATATATATATATATATATATATATATATATATATATATATATATATATATATATATATATATATATATATATATATATATATATATATAAAATAGTAAAATAGTTTTCAAAATACAGTAATACAAATTTGTAATACGGTACGCCAAATTTCCATTCAAAATAAGCTAGTACATTATATTTTATGCACAGTTTAGAACAGTTTTGCTATATCAACATTTTTTATTTATTGCGAGGTAAGGATTAGTGTATATAAAAAAATACCTACCTCCTTGGCGATTATTCAGCCAACCTCATTTCAAAACTGAAATCGGAAATGAATATAAAAAGTGTCTTCTACTAACAAACGCATTTGTAAGTGTGGCGATACTAAAGGGATGCAACACAATAATTTATGAACTTTGTAATGTGAACATTTTTGTCTGATCATAATAGTATGGCTACAGTGTACCAAATATGGGTATATTATTCTATTGAACCAGAATACGTTTGTAAGTATTTCAAGATTGAGTTCCTCAAAATTTGTTCGTATATTCTTATATAACAGCAAAACCTGGTCCAGTGCAATCAGGCTTTAAAAATTGCAGGTAAGTTTGTGACAAAACCGCACATCTTTGACGAAACACACATTCTTTAAAATTCTGTGAATTTGCCTCTTTATAAAATATGATATCAAATCATAGAATTCTGAAGGTGTTTAAGAGAGCGGAGTTAAAATAAATTTCCACTTCCGATTACCAGAAACGGCGCAAAAGTTGAAAAGAACTTCAATGTAGGTTAGAATTGTTATCTTTAAAATTTCGTCCACCTAATTGAAGCGGTACTAAAGTTATCGTGTTCATACACTCACAGACATACACACAGACATCTAAAGTACACCACTACAACACAAAAATCGTGTTTTTGTCAATTTTGCCTTCAAAGCTACCGTAACAAAAAAATAAATTTAAAAAAAGTTAAATTTGAAAACAAAATTTCGACTCAGGTAGGTGTGAAACTTCTACTTTCGCACAGTATTACGTAACTCTATCACTGATAAATCTTACGTAACTCCCGAACTCTTTTGGGGTGGTTCTAGACTGATAAATTATTCGAAACTATAAACGATTATTAGGAACAAAAACTCTTCGTAGACTCGAATCTAATGTCTAGGGTTAAAAACAAATATGAAGACCTTCTGATACTAATAAAACTTTTAATCAATCTAAAACCTTCTAAAAAGCAAACAAGTCTAAATAATAAAATACTATGCAAAAAAATATACAATAATGAAAAACCCAACTACAATTTCAGGAATAACACACTGAAACTACTAACACTGGATAAGGTACCTAAGTTATCACCACAACCTACACGTTATTAAAATAAGACCCAGAAAAATACTGAATACACTGGAACTTTGAGATAATTACTGCTTAAAGTACAACATGGACTCGTGGCTCTCTCTCTCTCTCTCTGTGGGTGTCTAGTGGGCTCCTTGTGCTAGGAAAATTCCTCCTTTATATACTACTCCAAAATTATGGGATGTTGACACGAATGCCAAGGACCATTCGGGGATGGATCCACAGCACGAGTCACACGAACTCAGTTGTGAATACTATCACGTGCGTCTGGTGGAAAATTTCTTTAGTTTGAACAACAGATAGCTCAAGGCCATTTAAAATATTAATAAAATTAAACTATTAAAAAAGAAGACCTAAGTAGGTCACAACAGAAATAATTCATCCCTATTTGCGGTATATGAGGAAGTAGAAATAGACACAATGCAATTCGTTTAATCCCAATACAAGAAATTACAGGCTAGAAATGGACGAAAACATGTTGAAAAAAATCCTTCCATCATTATTGATGACGGATAAAAATCGTGTTTTTGTCAATTTTGCCTTCAAAGCTACCTTGACAAAAAAAAATAATAATAAATTTAAAAAAAAGTTAAATTTGAAAACAAAAGTAAAATTAAAATTTTAAGAATCAATTTTATAATATTTAAACGCAAAGAACTAAAACATATTTTGTGTGTTTAAGGCTACATTTCTTTTTATTTTCATCAAATTACAATACAGTTTTACTTCCATAAGGCAAGCATTGATTGGCTTTACACTACTTCCGTTATCGATTTTCTGAACATCCCCACTTTCTAGTAATTTGTACTTAAAACTGGGCTGATAAATTTTTTTATAATTCAAATTATACTTTTAAAAACAACATGGCCTAGTTGTGCCATATTTATTTACATTTTCTGTGACCAAATGAAAACAACTAAATTGTTTTAGCTTTAAAAAATAATTGTTTAGTTACTCGAAATATGTAAAAACATCAAACACATCCAATCTTTGTTCACGTCTGAAAAAAATCAAACATTCAGGTTTTTATAACCAAATCTACTGCATTAACATGGTGCTTGATTTTTAAAAATATTTAATGATCCTTTCGAATAATTTTCGTTTGTGTCCATTAGCAATTGAAATTAAAGCATAAAATAACTGTGACTTAGCAACACAGCTAATTTTTCATAATAATTTAAATGCTTTAGATGGATCGAAATGTCAGGCAGCATTCAAGTACAAAATGTTTCGCCTATTTCCAGGTGAGGGACGGCTACCTGGATTCTGAGATCTTATTGTGTATTTACTGTAACTATCCACATTTTACTCAATCACGAGCTACCATTTTTAAAAGTTGGGCGCAATTTTTGTGTCTGATGTCTTTTTCTACACAGTGAGATTCAGCTTTCTTGCTGTCAGTATCTGACCATTGCCCAGCTGTCAGTGGTTCATTCGTGTAACATCCAGCTATTGGTAGTTAAACTTAGACACTCCTATTAGTGTACATTTAATATTGGTGACTGAAATGATCTAAAAAAATGGTCTAAAGGTATAGGTATCACCTTAAAATTATTTTAAAAGCAAGAAAATAAACTACTACAATGTGCTAGAGAACTGTCACCTCACGAGAAGTTGGAGATGCTACTCCCCCCCCCCCCCACCTTTAGATTTGCTAATCTAAACATCCCAGTTAATGAGATAAATTTATAAAACATTTATTATACTGCTGCTGACGTTTATAAGTCATCTTTTGTACAAAATATGATTTATAGTTGATGTATAAATCGTTTTAATTATTGTGTAATTATTCAATCATCCAAACATTTTATAAAACCCAATTATTTTAAATTATATATAATGCGGATAAAAAATGAATATACTATAGAGCTTATACGTCGTTTAATTCATAAGCATAGAATTTAAAAAAATATCAGTCCCCTTGTACAGAAGAAAATGGGGACAATTAAAACAATCAATGGCCGACTTGTAATTAGCTGCTCTAGGGCTTTGACCTAAAACTGTTACACTGGAAAAGTTGTCTAGTGTTTTAGTCTAGTAATTACACGATCCACGAAATTTTAATTAACGGCGCCCAAGAAATAATTCGCAGGGTTGTTGTGACGACGATTTGACGATCGATGTCCTCAGATTTTTGTCTTAGAGTTCATCATCACATACTCTGGTAGGGGCATCAGGGACCAAATGAAGTCTTACAGTACATGTGTGGCGTTAACCGGCGAGGGCTGTCAGTGTGATGTAGGGCGAGCTTTAGAAAGTCAAATCTTCACGTTTAAACTGAGGTGAAATGAAATCTGTCTAGTGTTAATCAAAATCTCGGGTCACTAAAGAAGTTTGTCTTAATGTTTCCAACGTTTGGTTGTGGTTGTCATGGACTGACTGGCTGTCTGGATAGCTGACACGGGGCTCGTGTAGTGGACAACAGGAGTGCTACTGTCTCGTGTAGTGGACAACAGGAGTGCCACTGTCTCGTGTAGTGGACAACAGGAGTGCTACTGTCTCGTGTAGTGGACAACAGGAGTGCCACTGTCTCGTGTAGTGGACAACAGGAGTGCTACTGTCTCGTGTAGTGGACATCAGGAGTGCCACTGTCTCGTGTAGTGGACAACAGGAGTGCTACTGTCTCGTGTAGTGGACAACAGGAGTGCTACTGTCTCGTGTAGTGGACAACAGGAGTGCTACTGTCTCGTGCTATTGTCACTGTTTTTACATCGTGCGATTTGGTGTTTTAAAATTTTAAATCAGAATTAGGGCGCAGAGTGACCACTAGTTTTACCTTAGTTTTTTTTTTTAAATTCTAACCCAGGTGAGTAAAACAGTTATCACCTGTAGTGGGTGCAGGATGGCATGCCTGGGCGTGGACAGGTCAACAGTGACCAACAGTCTGGACCCCACAAGAAAGGAAATTGTACAAGTCGGTCTCATGGATGACGTCACGTTTGGTTATTTTGCTTTGGCCAGTTTGGTCATCATCGGTGGAGTTATCAACATTGCTGGTCTCATCTTCAACAGTATCAACATCATCGTCTTCATCAAACTGGGCTTCACCGATACCATCAACATCTCTTTGTTGAGTCTTGCCATAGCGGACATCGGTATACACATCACGATGATTGGCTATGTGGTCATCTACAGCCCTGAAATGACACAGGATAAAACAAACATCGAACTCATTTATGCCGTGAGTTATCTGATCTTAGGCTGGCCTCACGTGATGTTTAGCCGTATTTCCGGTTGTCTGACAGCTTTTATAAGTTTGGAAAGATTCCTCTGTATAGCTGTGCCACTGAAGGTCAAGACGCTAATCACAAAGAAACGAACAGCGATAATTTCTTGCAGTATTTATGGCTTCATGATTTGTAGTGTCATCCCAGCCTTTGTTGCCAACAAAATTGGACCAAAATTTGACACAGAATCGAATGTAACTGTGATTGGTCTAATTACAATTGATAATAGTGACGCTATAGAAAACATCAGTTTGGCCATCACAAATTTTGTCGAGCTGGCCGTGTTTGCTCTTGTCGTCATCTTTACTGTTGGCTTGATACAGAAATTTGTGGACATTTCCAAGTGGAGGAAACATGCGGCATCGGCTTCTAAAATTAGAACGCTTTCAACACGCGATAACGTGTTGGTCAAAATGGTTTTATTTATATCTGGCGTATTTATAATCTGTTCATTTCCGGGTGTAGTGGGAACGATTGCACTACTTTTCGCCAAGGATTACAACGTCAAAGGGAAAGAAGTCTATGTTTTCCTCGCCAGCTTCTCCGTGTTTTTGAACATCGCATCCCTGAACTCTACTGTCAGTATTTTTATTTACCTGAGGATGAGCTCCAGGTTCAAACAAGTTTTCCGGGCGTTTTTTGTCAGCAGCGTCCCTGTGTGTGCCCCAGTTTATAAGGATTAACTTCAACTCTATACTAAAACAGTTGAAACCCAATTTTTATTCGTGTTGTTTTTTACTTTCTCGTATACGAAGTATTGTAATCGTGCAAAAAATGAAATCGAGATTTTCACAAATCTAGAAGTTTTACACCTCCCTGAGTCGGAAAAACATAGTTTTGCAATTTTGTCTGTGTGTATGTGTGTATGTCTGTGAACACGATAACCTGAGTACCGTTACAGCTAGGTTAATGAGATTTCATATATAAGAGTTGTATCGAATTTGTAGTTCAACTTTTAAGCGATTTTCGGTAACCGGAAGTGGAACTTATTCTTCTTTCAATTTTTCAAAAGCCTATAATTTGATTGCTGTTTCAGATAAATGAAATTTCACATGTAAGTAAAGTATCTAATTCTCTGCCTTCTTTCAACTTTTGAGTAATTTCCGTTGACCAGAAGTAGAAATTTACGCTATTTCCGATTTCTCAAACATCCCCCCCCCCAAAAAAAAAACCAACAAAAAAAAACCAACAAAGAAAAACAAACAAACAACAACAACAAAACAAAACGAATATGAATGTATAAGTACGAATATTCCGCACTATTAAACAGATATTGTTTGCTGTTCACTTGGTGCGCTATTCCTTTTTTCTTCGAGATTCTATTCTATTTTAAAAAGTTTAAGTAATTAAAAATGGATTAAAATCATGACTATACCCCGAGTTGCCATCCCCAGTAGTGTTATATACAAATATTCGATAAATTTTTACGGAATATCACTCCCGCTTAAAAAAAATTCTTAATAGTCACTGCCTTGTTCAGTAGATAATATAATGTACACAAACTTTAGTTTCCTTATTTTCTCGAACTGGAAAATGTGGCAAACGTATTGTAACACAACTGTTGATATTGGTAGAATTTAGATCTTATGACACCGTCGAAATAAAAATGTTGAATTTGAACCAATGGTGTGCGTTGTGATTTTCCCACTGTGTACATTAACTGAACTTTTTAAGAAAATGAACCAGTTTGCGTATTAAATCTATGTTTTATGGATTGAAACAATATTTTCGGGTTTATTTCTCGCAATATGATGCGAGTTTTATATTTGATGTGTAGCATTTACCTCTAAGTTAACCTCAGCCCTCCCCTCCCCCCATTTCCAGCCAGGACGTCGTAAAGAGAAGTTGTGGTAGTTTGGGTTGGTCTATGAACTTGGATTCATTTGGGATAAAAGGCGGGCGTAATGGCGTATTGGTTTGTTTTGTGCAGTTCAGCAGTCAGACAGTTTTCCAATGGGAAACATGATCGTATATATATATATATATATATATATATATATATATATATATATATATATATATATATATATATATATATATATATATATATATATATATATATATATACAATATATATATATAGACAATATATATATATAGACAATGGCCTCTGTGAAAAACCTATCTGTAAAGGTCCATGACTTATATGTTTAGTAATCAGCATATACCCGACATTGCCCGGGTTTAGAAAATGTAATTGCTTTACTAATGAACTCTAAACACAACCAACTAAATCCAAAACACAAATACAAATGCAAACACAAACAAAAAACAAACAAAAATACAAACGCAAACTAAACGCAAAGAATAACGCAGAACATAGACACGAACGTAAATGCAAACTTAAACGCATAATGCTCATAATTTAGCATGGGTCGCGGAAATTGCACCCTACCTGGGCGCCGGCGGAAACACCTGATTCAACTTAGTAAACGACTAAAATACCCTATCTTATCCATAAGCGATCGAACAGTTTAAACTGAACGTAGGCACCAGATCGCTCAATGAAGGCCCGGGGTGACAAACAGCACTCTCTTGGGGCGCCAGAGGACGCCCTGGATTCGATTTACTGAACAACTTAAGTAACTTTTTTACAGCTTTTCGCACTCTTTAAAACAAAAGTACGTAACCTAGCACTCACAGGATAGCCCAGAGCGCCAAAGCGCACCTTGCCGGGGTGAACGACTATAATACCCCAAGCTTATCCGCGAACGGAAAGATAGAGGTAAACATACAGGACATTTAGGAGCGGCTTCTAAACTGTTATTGATTAAAAATAATAATTAGTAAACAGTACGTTCAGTGTATAAAATAAATAAAAGGCAGTATTTAAAATATCCATGTTTTACCTACCACATTGCACTTAATCAATCAATGATAATAATGTTATTATTTTTTTCCCAACACCAAAACAAAGTAATAAAAAGTATCCCATCACCCCCCCCCCCCATGTTATTGTTTTTGTAAAGGGAAGTAATTGAGTTTTTGTAATTTACCAAGAGAATTAATTATTGCTAAATGACTAAAGGAAGTAATTTTCAGACCCAATTAGAATTTTTGTGAAGGGTGATACATTTTCTTTAATTTTGTTTACTGTGCATGCCGTCAATAAATACTATAAGTTTGGAAATGAAATTGGTTTTATAATACCTTCAATATTAGTTTTTTTAAATCATTAATTTCGATAATGATCACTTTAGATATATTACACTTTAGTTATATTACACTGTGGAGATAAAGGCGAGTTTTTTACTATATTATTTCGTACCACGGCCCGTCCGTCCGCCCGCCACATACAGAATTAGTAAATGACCATGACTTATATGTTTATTAAGCAGCATATACCCTGCTTTGCCCGGGTTTAGGAAATATATTACTTTTCTAATTAACCCTAACAACAATCAGCTAAAAACAAAACATAAACAAAAACAAACGCAAACATAACGTAAACGCAAATACAGACAAAAAAAAAACAACGACCGAAGACACAAACATAACGCAAACACAAAAGCAAATGCAAACGCAAATTTAAACATAAACACAAACACAAACGCCAATACAAACAGAAACATAAACACAAACGCGACGCAAACACAAACATAAACATAAACACAAACGCCAACACAAAAGCAAACACAAGCACAAACGCAAACGCCAGCGCTAACACAAACACAAAGATAGACATAAACACAAACCTAACGCAAACAATAATGTAGAAGATAAACACAAACTTAAATGCACACATAAAAGCATAGTGCTTACAGTATAGCCCGTAGGGCCAAACAGCACTCCCGTCGGAGCACCGGCGGAACCACCTGATTCAACTTAGTAAACGACTAAAATACCTCATCGTATCCAAAATCTATCGAACAGTTTAAATTGAACCTAGGCGCCAAAGCTCTCACGGGAAGGCTCGGGGAAATAAATAGCATCCTGTCGGGGCGCTGGTTGACGTCCGGTTAAGATTTAGTGTACGACTATAGTTACACATTTTATTCACAGACTATCGCATTTGTCAAAACAAACGCATGCACCATAGCGTTCACAGTATAGACCAGAGCGTCAAATCGATCTGTGCCGGGGCGCCGGCGGACACGCCTGATTCAATTTAGTGAACGACTAAAATATCCCAAGCTTGTTCGCAAACGGAAAGATAGAAGTAAACATAGAGGACATTTAGGAGCAGCTTCTAAACTTTTATTGATTAAAAATAATAATTAGTAAACAGTGCGTTCAGTGTTTAAAAGGCAGTTTTTTACCTACCAAATTGCACTTTATCAATCAACGCAAATTATATCTTTTTTTTTCCAATACGAAAACTAAGTAATAAAAAGTATTATTTCCCTGACTTAATGTTTTTTTTTAAAGGGAAGTAAAAAATAAATATTTTTTAAAAAATATCAAGGGAAGTAATTAGCTATAAAAGAAAAGAAGTGAAGTATTTTGTACACTTTAATTTTTGTGAAGGATGATACATTTTCTTTGACTAGTTTTTTCCTCGTGACGTTAATTAAATGTTAAGTTTGGAAATTGTAACTTGTTCTACAAAACAATCCACATTATTTTTTAAAATTATTTATTTAGATATTAAACACTTTAGGTGTATTACACTATGGCGATCGAGTCGAGTTTTTTACTATATATTTTCTATTGTCAATGTGCCCACCTCTGTCCATTTTCACAGAGCCTTAGAATCCTTTTGAGTTTTATATCTATATATATAATTCTCTTCTTGGAGACGCTAGAAAACAAGCTGTAAGCGCGCTCCCTACCACCCCACCCCTACATGGTCTGGTGAGTTGTGGTTCACGCTAAATGTTTACAATCGTAGAGCCGGGTTTAGAGACGGCTATTAGGGGCAGATAATTTAGTTTGAAACGATTTTAAACTTAGGGGAGGTAACTAAGAGGAGGCTTCTTTCACGGGGGGGGGGGGGGGGGGGGGTTGTGGGAAAGGAGGGTGGGGATAGTATTGTCCTTAACGACCTACTGATAGTGTTTTAAAGCAAATATTTTCAGTGGCAGCATTGGTACTGTCGAATTCACAAATTATGAATTACTGAAAATAAGAAAATAAAACAACTAAATAGTGGCGTATGATATGCCGCGGGTCGGCTCGTATTAGATATAAAGTTTCCCTTTCAAACCTGACGGTTTATGGGGCAAGTGAAGTAGAGTTCACTTGTTTCTTTGACCTCGGCATATAAAGAGATAGTGTGGTCAGCACTATGCCCGGCCTCCTTTACTATCCCTAATTTGAGTTAGGTACCTATCAGAGTTGGGTGGACTCAGGGACGGTCTACTGACTTGAACTCGGATTCGAACTCGAGACTTACGGGTTAGCAGTCCAGATATATTAGATATATTTAAGATATATGTCTAGCACATGACGAAAAACCTTTCACACAGATAGTCAGTAAATTCAAGAATTATACAACTGAGACCACTGTCTATGTACGGCATACACACATGTCATTGAGATGGTCAGTGAGGTGGACAGCAAATAGTGAAATTGTTGGAAAGTAAAAATAGAAGTTATTTATATAGTTTTAGAAGCAGGTAAAAATAACTGTATATTTTGCACTCCCCTTTATCAGCACGTACACATAAAACATTCGGTCTTTAGAGATACTTGACTTAAGAATGCCAGGGGTCGATTAACTTGTGATTAACGTTCTAATAAA